GACAAAGGGTGACAGGTTTGAGCCAAATAGAATGTAGACTAATAATAAAGGGAGTAAATGTCTCCTCCAGGCAGTCACGAAAGAGGCCGTCAGTGAACAGGGAGGGGAGGGAGGGGAAACTGGAGGGGAACAGGTTGGTAAAAAGCACAATTATTAGAAGCCTAAGCGACAAAATAAAACTGCATGCACCAGGTACTTAACACGTGTATTACGTTATTAAATATTCTATTCTGATATTATTAAATCAAGGATATTTCTTTGAATTCTGAACACCAAATTCTGAAAAGTAATTCTGTGTCACATGTCTACTCGAGTGTTACACCTGAAAGTTGTATCAGACAATAGAATTCTAGAGCACAGATTTAATATTAAAATAATCAGTTTACTCTCCAATAGTGATCACAATTACTCCCTAGACGAAAACTGGTTAAACTTTCGTGGGAGTTAATAGATACGAGAAACTATATTACACTCCATTAAAATTTATTTAAACAAGTTTAAACGTTTAAAATGTTACAAAAATAGTACCATGTTAGTGGGGAGTGTTTTTAGAATCATTTTCTGTGAGAAACGTTTCTATAGCGTTCACAATTAACGCGCAAATAATTTTTAAAGTTGAATATTCGTAAGTTTTTAAGTGACTAAAGGTAACTGAATATTTCTACTTTCAAATTTGTCTTTGACATTTTACAAGAATCAGACAGTGAATATTACAAATGATAGTGTTGGACAATATTAATATTTTACTTTAAAGTGTTAAAGGATTCTCGCAGAAGTTTATCCGAGTAGACAAATGCATGAACTACTATCGAGAATTATTTTTAAGAGCGCGAATGTACGTTAGACGTGTCAGCGTACCGAAAAATCCGTAACTTCTCCATTGCAAATGAAGTATAATGTGCAGGAAACAGGGGTCAGACCTTACAAGTTACATGAATGTTCGGGAATAAATTAAAATGAATCATCGAATGCAAGTTTGTATACGTAAAAGTGGTGATAATTCTCACTGTCGGTGCAGTGCCGCACTCCAGCTGTGAACAAAGTGTTTAGATACACCTTTCGCCAAGGTGCACGAAGTGACAAAGCACAAAGAGACAGCTATATACAATCCACGTTCATTGTGGTGTACTTAAATGCCTTACGAGACCTAATTCTGTTCGAGTTTCTACTTCGAACATTAATCTCTCCCTACGACAACACTCGATTCTCATTTACAAAAGCGAATATCATTTTCTACTTGATCTTCTTTCTCGATACGATGATTCCCATTTACCATACAGTGGCAAATGCATCGAGTATCATCGTTACATTTCTCTTTTTCAATTACAATACCAATATAAATTCTATTTGAACATAAATTCCAATGTAACTTTAATTATTTCAATTCACTTTTTCAACACGAAAGTGATCATATACATATATACTTATAGTTGGAAACGACAGGGTCCTAAAAGTTTCACTTACCTTTATGAGAAAAGAAATTGTGATGAATATTGAAAAGATAAACATGCCACCAAGACCGTATAAGTGAAGTGTACGCCTTCCTGTTCTATCCATAAGCGGGATGGATACTAACGTCATACAAACCATAATGGCACCTATGCCAATGGTTGCAAACTTGGCACTCTCCTCTGTCAGGCCAGAACTGGTGAACAAATTTGTCGAATAGTAAAACACCTGCAGAGAGACAGAGATGTCGGTGAAATTTTCGGGTGCTGTCGCACCGCGACGAATCGCTGTTCGGGGAACTTAAACAATGCCATCCAACTGGACCGGAATTTAAATTTCATGGACGTTAATGCACAGAGAATTTACAGCGGCGGCTACTCACAGCGTTAATGCCTGAAAGCTGTTGGGAAAGTTGCATAACCACGCCGATAACGAGGGGTGCTCTTAGCGTCGGACTACATATGAGCTCTGTCATCGATATTCTAGACTCGGCTTGTTGAGCCCGTTCCTCGGCTCTCATTTCCTCGATGTCTTCTTCCACTTCGTTGCTCGCTCTCAACCTTCTCAATGCTTTGCGAGCCTCCTCCTCCCACTGTTTGGTAATGAGCAAATATCTGCAGAACGGAATTCAGAATTGACTAAAGGCTCCACACGTTTAAGGATTTGTAGCTAAAAGAGGGGGGTTTTGTTTATATCTACTGGCTATTTATTTACCATTAACCCGACATTTATGGGATACTGAGAATTTACGAGTACAGAAATCCTTCGATGATTAAATTGAATCCGCTAAGGAGCATATAGCAAAGCAATGATCTTTTAGACTAATCTACTGACTAGTACAGTGTGCAATAATATTACTTAATGGTAGACTTAATATTTATTTTATAGCAGAAACGAGTTAAATAATTACTTTAAATAATAGAATTAATATCATGAACAACTGAAAGTAAGTTAGGGGATAAGCGTTGTACTGTACTGATTTCTTTAGATAGATTCTGCTTTCTACAATACAAGTCTCTGTGGAATATCTTACGCACGAGAATGTCTAGAATATGTCTAACAGGGACTTCTTACCAGCAACTTCTAATATCTACCTTGGTGATTCAGGGCAAACTGGAAGCAGCAACAACTGTAGTATCGCCGGGCAGATAGCTAGCCCTAAGAGTACCGGCCAACCCTCATTCGTCCCAAGGATTTGCTCGATGCCCAGCACCTGGGAGACCAGGAGACCCACCGTAACAGCGAGCTGGTTCACCGTGCCTAGGCCGCCTCTCAGGTTCAGTGGTGCTATCTCCGATATGTACATGGGAACCAACGAGGTGTTCAAGCCACAATTGACACCGATGATGAACCGTCCAAAGAACAACATTTCGTACGAGTGAGCAATCTTTGTACAACCCATCAGGCACGCCCCCACGATGCCCAGCACGTTGTTTAGCAGTAAGCCCCCCTTTCTGTTGGCGGATAGAACGAAAAAACAGAAAAACAAAGTGGACGATGTTAATGGCCAGTTTCAATGATCCATCAGTTACCTGACAGAGCGCGCTAGCATTTTTTTCGTAACGATGTAGCTTTGCGTAATACACAATTTGCCTAGCTTTGTAGATATACATACAACGTGGCTTAGCAGGATTACTGATAAACGGAATGGCGTACAAACCTGCCAAATCTGTTGGCAATTATTCCACCGCTAAAACCACCTAGCATACCACCGATCGCGAATATGCTTACGGCCACCGAGTACAGTTTCTTCACGGAGTCGTCGGAGATGTCCTCCCCGTATCGGTCCTTGTACACGTCTTTCATGAAATTCTCTATGTTCTGAAACATTCGGGTCGTGCTTTTTATAGGAAAACTCGTATCTATTGTCGCAAGTTTGTATTTATCTATGTGAACGAAGAGTTCGATATTTCTAGGGGTTGTTCTGGAAAGTCGAAGAATTTATTCTTTTTTCTTTGATTTTTTGAGAGTACTTTTCAAGTAGATATCTATGTAAAGAAAGAGTTTGATATCTTTAGATGTTATTCGCAAAACGTACCACTTCCGGCGCATTAATGACTCCAGTGTTGTATCCGAACTGCAACATTCCTAAAACTGCAGCCAATATTGCATACGACAGGAAAAGTGTCAGTCCCTGAAAATATCACGTACAGTATTAATCGTTGAAAGATCGATTCAAGTTCGCGAACAAATATCAAATCTCAATGGAAAAAAACGAAGAACATAACAATAAAACAATCGCAGCGTCAAACAAAAAATAATTCTTATGACAATAGAAATCATAAACGATGAAAGGGTAAATAAAAGAACACCAGAGAATGTTAGACTGGTTTATTACAAAATATTCGTCAAATGTAACTATAAAATCATGCGCTACAATGAGACGAATAATACGATAATCATAAAAATTAAACGGGACGGTATAACGAAACAAATACAGCCACGATACGCTGGTATTATGATGATGATGATTATGATAATGATGATTGTACAAAACAAGCAGCCATTGAAAGCGATATCATACTTTGCTCGGTAGAAAAGAAAAATGTCACGCCAAAAAATAAGTATTTTGGTTCGAGATACAAGGATCACCTGTTGTAAAAGTCTAAGTTTCCGCCGATGGGAGTGTTCTTCTAGTCGATCCACATATTCTCGTAACTCTTCTATCTCCTCTTTCACCTGCTGTACTGTATCGAGTTCGTGCTGCGTTGGATTAGGAAATGACGGTTTAAAAATAGGAAGACACTTCCAAACGAGAGTACTAAAATTCTATAGCTATGTATATTTCAAGAATGTCGGGTCAAATCATTCGTCAAAATAATTAACCCATTTCAGTGATCTCTTCGCACGGAACGGTTGCTCCACAAGTTTCGAGGACATCTGGAATATAATAAAACCAAACCGACAAGACTTTCGATCGAATGCCATTCTCTATAATTTATTACACATAAATACGAAATGGAGTTCAGAACTACAGCTTCAAATTCAAAGTAGAATACAAGCGATCTTTCAAACGCAAATAAATGAAATTAAACAAATTTTATAGCGTCTGCACTCACAAAATAAGATAAGAAACAACCTTCATTCAAAACATTCAATTCGTACAGCTCAAAATTCGTCATTAATTTCAAGTCGTTTAAATGCGATGTTTAAAACCCTGGTGCGATTTTACGGAGTAACATCCCGTTCGCCGGCACTCGAAATCCATGGGACAACCGATCAAGCGAAAGATCTCTTCAAACAGCGGGTGAAGATGGAGACCGGGTAATTTTGGAGCGAGCAAGCGACTCAAGGGGTTGGACACAGATCGGTAACAATACCTTGATCGCGACCATGTCCCGTTTGACCTCGCTGACCTCGCTCTGACAAGACTCTACGCTCTTGGTGAGCTCCTGCAGCTGTGTGCGAATCTCGCATAGGGCGACGGTCGTCTCCAGCTGGCGGTCACCCCGCTGCAGCTCGTCCAGCTTGGCACTCAAGTTCATACTCATAACGCTGACCTGTTTCTGCAGACTGCCCACACACATATACCCTAACGTGAATCACGCTGGCTCGCCCCCGATTTCAAATGGAAATCGACAACAATTTGTCGGGCACACATCGACAGACACTAGACACGATCAAGGCTAAACTATGTAGGTATATATATATATACCTATATGTATATGTATATATGTATATGTATATATATATATATGCCTAGGTGGTATCCCTAAAAGAGAGGTCCAACTAAACTTCGCGCGATACTGCCGAGCCTTACACACGTTTCTTTTTTAGCGTCACAGACAGCAAACAGACAGAATGCGTACGACACTCATACAACACCGCCGTGTGTATTTTCGTTTCTCCCGGTGTTATCCTGTATGCTGTATATATGCTAGATATTTGTACATATATATATATTTTTTTCTTTCCTACTTTCTATATATTTTCTTTCATTTTTTTTTCCTCATATCAGGCGCTCGTTTATATTCTCTCTTTGTCACGTGCGAGGATATAAAGCTCTAGCCAACGGTGGAGAAAAAAGAACGGATGCTGTAACTCAACAAGTGTAAGTACACGGCTTGGCTACCGCCATTTTCCTCTGGTGCTTGCTTTGAGAAAAAAAAGGAAAAGAAAATTTGTCGTTAGCGAGCCAGCGGTAGCTCGGCAGCTAAGGAAGCGTCGGGAATACACGATTACGGCACGTTAACGGAGAGAAAGATTCATGTGTGTACACGGGGTGTCGGGTAAAAGTTGAGTTTCGATTTTGGAAGATTACGGCACCCCTCAAAACGAGCGATAAAGTTTTGGTAAAGAATTCTTGATGGTTAAATCGTGTTTTCCATATGTTTACTTCATTTCATTTTGTTCAGTTTGAGAGCTAGGAAGTAGATGTTTATTAGAATCGAAATAATAATAATCGAAGAAGGTTGTAATAATCTTTTTGAATGTAATGATTATACTAATGGATCTTTCAACGCGTGCATGCATCGATGCGTAAACGTGGCGAACAGTATGAGCGGCCATATTGAATATCTACTTCGGAGGTTATGTTTCATCGACAAAGATATTTATTAAGACATTTGTCTCCGAAAGCAACGAGTTTGAAACTCACGTTTACTAAGACATTTTCGTCGTCTAGATGAGCACTGTATGCCTCTAACCTTAAATCGCAACTTTAGTCAACACCCTGTATACAATATATACTATACACAAACAAAGAAATATTATCATATAAATATATATTATGAACCGCCTATGTAATATGAATATACATAGAAGTATAATATAATATCGAATCGAAAGGAATATAGCACAATGTACAAACGCCACTAAAAGCAGGTCTAAAATTGTGTGTGGGTGAGTGTCAGGGTGAAACACTACAGTGATATATATGTATATATTTTTTTTTAAATAAATATATATATATATATTTATATTAATATACACATTAAACATAGTTGTCAGAGCTGTGCACATTAGATGGAAGTTTGTGAAGGTGAATAGATGGAAACTAGTCCCCTCGTATAACGGGTATACATAATAGACCCTCCCCCGTTAGTTTCAACACATCGGAAGGACCACCTGTTTTTTTTCTTTTTTTTGTTCTTTTTTTCAATGGAAAATGCAATATGAGTTTCATCCCCCCTCTCCCGTTTCATAAAGCATTTTCCCCCGTGAGTAACGCGGCGAGAAAGAGAAAAAGAGAGATAGAGATAGAAAAAAAAGAGAGCTTCGGCACACGCGAAGCCTAAGTGTCTACGCAAAACACGATGCGGGAAATGTGCAAGTGGGTTGAGAAACAATGAGATTCCGATGCTGGTGGTTATAGATCGCAAAATGTAGGTAACGAATGAATGATCATAGATGTATCTCGATCGAGGGAGATTTTTTTGTTTCGATTGATTCCTTTCTTTTTTTATTTTTGCAAACTTGTCAATCGATGTGCACAGCCAAGCAAAAAGGGTGATTCAAATCAACGGAAGAATGGAGAACTAAAGAGATCAACGGAAAGAGAGAAGAAAGAAGGGGTGGGTGGTGGCTGAAAAAGGGGTGAAAATTTCACGCAAGGCATGAGCGACGGTGTGAACAGTGAAAAATGAATGAACACATGAACTTGTAGCGCGGCCAGCGAGATCTCCATAGTTCCGTTGAAGATTTTACCTTGATTTCCATTGTTGCTAATCGAAGTTTCGTCGTTTTTCATTGAAATCTATTTTTTCTACTTAAAACGTTTTTTCATTTTTATTTTTGATTTTTATTGTATTTTTTGTAAAGTAAATTGTATTAATTTATTTTTATTATTGTAAGAGTTATTAAATAAGAAGGAAACAATAGGAAAAAGTGAAGTAGGAAGTCAAAGATACAGAACTTCTTTAGTTTTTCAAGTTGATTGAAAAAAGTGTGGCTGGTATACACTATCAGTTACTGAACAAGAAAGCATTGACACTATAGGAATGGAACTATAAAAACTTCTCTCCAAATTACACATTCTTGCAATTAATTCATTTCTATACATTTCACCACAAACTCGTTTAACTCATCTCATTTAATTCATCTCTACACATTTCGCCATAAACTACAATTAAAACCCATTCACCTTACACAAAATATTACAAATTACTAATCAACATTCTACAGAACCACGGAATTTTCGCTGACCGCAAAAGAAGAGAAAGATAGAGATAGGAAGATAGAGAGACAGAAAGTAAAAAACAGAA